AGGTTTTGTTGCAACAGCTACCATGAGGCTGCTCAGGGACGCCTCAGATGACCCCAAGGACAGCAGGTGACCGTCCCCCTCCGAAACTTGGGCAGGTGGAAAATACACAGACACTGAAACCACACACTTCCTAAACGCCCTGGTGGACATTCACGTGCTGTGATGGCAATCTCGGGGCCGTGGTGTTTTTTTTCAGAGAGAGATTTTTGTTAGGGTATGTGTGCTCACTGGAGAGACAGAGAGACACAGAGAGAGGGGAAGTGAGGAATCACCCCCAGGGGAGGGCCATGCCTCAAGGCCTTGTCCTTCATTCTTGCCCTGGGATTTGGAGCACGCACACACGTGCCAGCCTGAGTTTCGCACTACCGGGTCGGGGACGCAAACCATGGCCAACCATGTGGGAGTCCAGCACTAACTACGACAGCTGCGTCTTTGCTTTAAATTTTTATTTACAATAGAAGATGTGCGTACACACACACGTGAGCACAGGAGCCAGGAGGACCCTCAGTGGGGTCTCATCATGCCCCATCCTCTTCCTCGCCCTCTTACCCCGCGCCCAGGCTCGCGATGTGATGTGCACACACGCGCCTGCGTCCAAGGACTGGGATGAGGGCCGGCCCCGCAGCTCCCACACTCCTGGCTGCACCAGGCTGGCCTGTGTTTCGTTCTAAGATACTTCGAGTGAGGTAGGACAGGACGGTGATCTGCTGAGTGACTGGCCCAGCCCAAGGTGGCCTTCAGACTCAGGTCTCGCTCCCTCTTCCCAGAGAGCTGCCGACTTTGAAATCACAAGGGGCCTATTCTCTGGAATCAATCCTTTTGGAGAGGTGGTGTTCTTGCTCAACAGCAATGAGCCCGCGCAACAGGAAGACTCGGGCAGCCACAGGAAAACAAAGGCTCGAAAGCAGTATTTCTCAGAGGGTCGGAAGGGCTTAAATTTAAAAAGCAGAAGCGTTCTGAAAACTTGGAAAGGAAAGGAGCGGTGTTTGCACCAAAAGTGCTCATCACGACAATTTTCAATGACTCTATTGCCAAGTACTCGCACTCCAAAGGGCACCCGGTTCCCTGGATAGCCTGGTGTTATGAACAAAAGCTCCAAACCTCGAAGGAAGACGTTTCCTTCACCAGCATGTAGGAGTGAAGAGTCTGCACCAAACTCCTCCCAGGAATTCCGGACTGCCTTAACGTCGCTGTGTGGAAGTAACAGCCTCTGAGTGCAGGACCGAGCACCCAACTCCAGAGGCAGGAGGAGTCCAGTCTGCGGGGAAGGGCCGACACTCAGCAGGAGCCAGGACGAAGCTCCCGCCTGTCAGGGAAGAGAGACTGCCTCCCTGCCCACCTCCTGTCCTGGCCCACAGCAGCCGCGCCTCCGGGCTGGCTGGAGAGCCCCGGGCACACCAGGGCCGCCTTCGGGTGCAACAGCGCCCACGTGCCCAGGACTGGCACTTCCAAAGCTTTATGGATCCCTGTGGTGCTGCGGCCGGTCACCGTATTATGCAGGTGCTCACGGATTCCGCAAAATGAACTCGCAGGTGTGTGTTTTCCTAAAGACGGGCCTGCTGGGGGGCCAGCGCATCATCACTGCAGAGTAGCACGCTGGTGTCCCCTGGCCCCGAGACAGCAGGCCACCGCACTGCCGTTTTTAAAGCCATTTCTGAAAAGTAAGAAAGAAAAAAGAGAGAGCACAGCGCTGCTGGGGGGTGGGCAGAGGGCCGCCTTCCGCACGGCGTGGCGACTGCCATCCTGTATCCCTGCCCGGCTCCCTGTCCCTCTGCAGGGCGGTCTTCACCGGTCACACATGAGGCGACCGTCCCTCACTGCCATTCACCCTTCCTTCAGAGGCTCTGGAGGCACCGATTGGCTGAATCTTTCTATCAGATGTATCAGTGAAACCTACCCCTGTCACCTCCCGCGAATAGCATTTCTACACCAATCACCTCCCGCCAATAGCATTTCTACACCGGCCACCTCCCGCCAATAGCATTTCTACACCGGCCACCTCCCGCCAATAGCATTTCTACACCGGCCACCTCCCGCCAATAGCATTTCTACACCGGCCACCTCCCGCCAATAGCATTTCTACACCGGCCACCTCCCGCCAATAGCATTTCTACACCGGCCACCTCCCGCCAATAGCATTTCTACACCGGCCACCTCCCGCCAATAGCATTTCTACACCGGCCACCTCCCGCCAATAGCATTTCTACACCGGCCACCTCCCGCCAATAGCATTTCTACACCGGCCACCTCCCGCCAATAGCATTTCTACACCGGCCACCTCCCGCCAATAGCATTTCTACACCGGCCACCTCCCGCCAATAGCATTTCTACACCGGCCACCTCCCGCCAATAGCATTTCTACACCGGCCACCTCCCGCCAATAGCATTTCTACACCGGCCACCTCCCGCCAATAGCATTTCTACACCGGCCACCTCCCGCCAATAGCATTTCTACACCGGCCACCTCCCGCCAATAGCATTTCTACACCGGCCACCTCCCGCCAATAGCATTTCTACACCGGCCACCTCCCGCCAATAGCATTTCTACACCGGCCACCTCCCGCCAATAGCATTTCTACACCGGCCACCTCCCGCCAATAGCATTTCTACACCGGCCACCTCCCGCCAATAGCATTTCTACACCGGCCACCTCCCGCCAATAGCATTTCTACACCGGCCACCTCCCGCCAATAGCATTTCTACACCGGCCACCTCCCGCCAATAGCATTTCTACACCGGCCACCTCCCGCCAATAGCATTTCTACACCGG